TTTTTTTTTTTTTTGAATTAATTTCTCGAGTTTTTTAAATTCTCTTACAAGTCTCCTTCCCGATGTTTTCATCACGAAGCGAAGAAATCAGTTTTTTCTGGGTGTTTAGTTTCAAGCAGGCAGGTGGAAATAGACCTCGTGTTGCATATTTTTTGCTGAGTTTAGCAGACAATTTTTATCTTATGAATATATTGTTCAAAAAATTTGATACAGCAAGAAAAAAATTCACTTTTGGGCTGCTGCTTCTCGTCACCAATGCAGTTTTGGTAGCTTTCTCAGCATTAGTTACAACTCTAAAAGCCAAATATTTTTGGAAGGAATGCGCTTCTATTAGGCCCCATAAAGGTATCAACACTTGGTCAATCATTCCCCGAAAGCATGTTTTTTCTTATTAATTTTTTTTAAAGTTTGTCTCGCTTTCTGTGCTCTGTTTCGATAGTGGAGATTTCGGTAATTTATTTTCTGCTACCTTTGAATCATACTTTAGACTGGTTTGGAAACTTATGACAGACAAAAGTCTTCAGTAATATAACTGGTTATTACCACCTGTAAAATAAGCTTTTTGCTTGTTAATTGCTTTGTTTTTTGTTAATTTCTATTGGGTAAGGTTTTATTAGAGAATAAATTTTATTTGATGTTAAAATTTTCTGATGACATTTGATATCTCGTGGTTAAATGACCGGTTCGTAGTCACTTCACCGAGCTGGCAGGGTGATTCGAGGGGATTTGACGGCTTTAATTTGCTTGAGTCGTCTTTAACCACTAACAGTCAGTTGTATGATTTATATTCTGTTTTTTTTCTTTTTGTTGGATTTTTGTTCAACTGTTAAGCAGTGCTGTTTGCTGGAGTTATATCAAAAATTTGACAGGCTATGGAATTCCTGAATAATTGAATTTGAATTAGGGGTCTTCCATAAATTGGTCGTGCTACAACTACAATTGCTCCTTGCATTAAGCATACACTGATTGTTCTTGTAAATCTTATTAGGATGTTCTGAAAAATTTCTGGTTGGCATTAGGCTTAAGAAACTTCCAAGATTGAGAACTGTGTAGAATCGTGTACAAATCACCGACAGTTAGAATGGCTTGGTGTTAAAAACTGGAATGGACACTGATTACCAGAAATTACAAGTAGTTTTCGAATATTTTTGTGTAAATCTTATAAAATTTATCGGCTGCCATAAATTGCTTCTACTTATATTTAAATCTTCAATCTCTTCACTTTCGTAGAGCCGCTTTTTCCGCAGTTTTTTCAGTGCTATTGAACTTAGATTTTATTGTGACTGCATGGATTATTGGAAGAAATGAGGTCGGCTTTGAGGGGAGGGAAAAAATGATTTCTCTGCAAAACAGGTCTAAATCACAGTTCATACTTGAGTTGATTGAGAACCATAGTAAATTAGTTTTGCAAGTCATTTTGACTTCTTTCCTCAATGCAGCTTTGTTTCCGAAATTGGTTGGTGATTAATGTTGTAAGGGGAATACTGAAAAGCGAAGAATAGTATCACTACTGCCTGATCGAAACCGTAATATCAGGAGCACTGTTCAAAGATGATAGCATAGTTTGTTTTTTTATTGTGGAAAGCCAACTTTTTTATTTAGGTTTGAATAAGGCGTACTGAAGTGTTATTCCTTTTCAGATAAATTCGTACGTGAATTTGGTAAAAGATTTCGAAGAACCAACATCTGTTGCTTTAACGAATGCTTTCTTGAACAACTGCATTAACGTTATCAAAGCAAAGAAAGTTGCCAATGAGGTAATCACTACTTTAGTTATATTATTTACTTTGAAATTGTTGAACGTTTCTTAAGCTGAACCGCGGACTTCTAGGTGATGTCTGAGATTGCCTTCATACTCTGGTAATTTTTAAATCCAGATGCCTCATTTGGAAAACTGATGGGGCTGCTTTAAAAGGTGAGCTCACTGTGGGTATGAATCTCATTCAGAAGTCTTCCCAGCTTTTAAACAAGCTGGGGGTACTTTTAAAGCTCCTGACTTTTACAGAGTTAGCTAGGTTATTATTTGATGATTTAGTTGCTCATTTCTTCATATGTTGGAATTATATGCATCTTTCAGATATAGAAGCAATTTTCATAAACGTAGCAAACTAAGATTCAAGATTGTGTAAGAAAATTCAAGCCAAACTACGGTTAAAAAAGTACATTTCTTACGAAATTTGGTTTGTGAGATATGTAAGTTTCATTCTTGGTGGTAGTGATTCAATGTTTTTTGGTAAACTGAGTGAAGTGGAGTCTATAAAGTGCGATAGAAAATTAATTTTCCTTTTCACGGATATTGGAGGTTTGCTTAATCGAACCATGCTACTTTCAAGGTATGCTTTGCTTAAGCGAGGCTGAAATTAGTAGAAGTTTGATGGGTTGGGGTTGCTTATTGTCACCACTCTCAATATCATTGGTCGTCATTCCCTTCAAGTGTTTCTTGGTAGAGAGTTTTAAGAACTGCGACAGCGCATCTTGACCCTGTTGAAATAATCTTCAAGTAATAACAGTTGCTAGTTCTGCAACAAAGAGCATATAATTCTTATGGTGTTTTGTTGGTAATTGCTTGTCTATTAGAATGTTATTAGAAAACCAAAGAAAAATTCCCCGTTTTTAATATTTGTTACGTTTCATTTTTTTTTTTTAAATGGCTTACTGTAGTTTTTTTTTTGTGATTTCTTAAATTAAATATCAATTTTATTTGTTCGCTCAGTTATTCGAGATTTGGGTGTACTTCTGGTACATTATTTGCACCACATGCCCAACATCCAGACGGAAAATTTAGTGTTTTAAAAGATTTTTGTTCAGCTTTTATCTAGATTCAAACTGCGAGGAGAAGCAAAAAACTTGCAGGGAGGGGAAAGACGTGACTTGAAAAATGACCTCTCAGTTTTTTTTTTTTTTCAACCGGGTGGGTTCTGTGCCCCATAAAGAAAGAAGTTCCAATCTAACAAATTTTGCAATCCAGAGTAACAATCTTCTAAGTGGGTTGTACACGGTTTCTACGCACGTTTTTATTTCCCACTCCTTTCACTGCAGTGGTTTTTTACTGTAAGGGGGGTTTTTTCTCATCGGTAATCTGTAGCCGAGTGTTTTTGAGGGAGAAAGGCTTGTGGTTCGGCGCGAGACGACCATGCGGTAATGAGTTTTTGTAATTGAACCAGCGGCATCTAGGTTTAGATTGTGAGCAAAGTACACACGTTAGTTAAGAAAGCTCTTGTTAAATTACAAAGGCGGAATCTAAGTTGCTTTTGGGAAAATTACGAAAGGGGAGTCTTTTAATGAAAACATCTTTTCTCACGAAGATGATGTCCCCTGTTTTTAAAGCCATCTAGGGGTTCTTCTCTTGTGCCTTCCGTTTACTTTTAAAAACGGCTGGGATAGCGGCTGAATAAAAATTTTCTCGATTTACTTTTTACCGAGTAGTCTTATTCGTTCTTATGACCTCATAGGTATTGGTCTCACAGTGTACCCGAGTTTGAAGAAGATCTTCGACATTTATTGTTGAATGCTAAGTCTGCCCATTCTTGTTGTACTGTAATCTATTTCAGAAAGTTTTAAACGTTTTACAAAGACCTCCTCGTGTGGAAATCAATTTCAACATTGAGCAAGTTGTGTCTTTAGCCACTCAGTGTGGGCGAGTGTATAGTGACGCAGCTGATGGAACCCTTCGATCTGTAAGTTTTTACAAAGCATTTTTTCATTTTGAAATTTGGCTTATTTTCTTGACTTTGAGACTGAATAGTTTCTGCTAAGTTTACAAAAATTATAAGGACTACTTGTTTGTCACGTTTGCTGTTTCTTTAATTACCTAACATGTGCCATTGCAAAGACAGAAACTTTTATTGTGCTTCTTTGCATTATAGTTTTTAGGTAGAAATTTGCCCACATCCAGCGCCAAGAAACGTCCTCAATATTCCACCAGCTGAATTTAGCAGAAGTAACATTCGCATGCCTGGAGTAGTCGGTCCTTTGCCGTCTACATCGTCTGCACAGCCGAGCTCTGGTTTACCGATTCGACTTCATGCCCCGACAAACGCATCACCTATGAGACCACCCTTAACACCGCAGCAGTTTTTCATTTTCCAGCAACATCAAAGGCAGCAACAACAACAGAGATTTGGAAGGGCTTGTGAGGTTAGTTTCTTTTGTCAATTGATTGCGATGGCTATTCGTTATGAATGGTATCAGTGTCAATGTAAAACGTTATTTAGATCCCAGTAAAGCAGTTGCCACAAATCGTAAGGCAAATTCCTCCTCAAGGCCCTCATTTTCCCTTCTTTGGTCCCCGTTTTCATTCATTTCCTGCAGATATGGGTTCACCAAGGTTTCCTGTCTCATCTCCTTTTGTCCGATGTAATGTCTTTAACGTTTACATCTTGGTGTAGTTCAGTCTGAAAAATTTTCTTTCAATTTGCAAGAGAGCTTGTATGTTGTAGCGTTTGGTCCTGAAAAGTCTAATCAGCCAAGTGATGCAGGTGTTAGCTCACCGTCATGTATCGCTGCTTCACTGCAAAGTCCTATTCCAGCTGTG